AGCTGCCTCTTGGTACTGAATGGAGGCTTTTAATATTAATATAAATTTCAAAACTTTAGTCTGGGTTATTCAAGAAATGTCACTTAAGACAGTGGTACCATTCAGATTAAACACCAGGAAGATCCATAATCCATAAAACCCTTGAAGTATACATTCAGTATTCTCTCTCTCTCTGTCTCTCTCTCTCTCACACACACACACACACGCACACACACACACAATCAAATGATTTCCTCTTTGCTTTCCTCCCTTACTAGGCAATACTAACAATAGAGTGGATAGGAGGGGAAAAAGATCAGTGGTGGGTTTCAACTGGTGTTATCACCGGTTCGCTTCGTGCACGTGCTTTGCGTGCGATTCGCTCCACGTTATTCACTCCGTGATTTACTCCGCATAATTGCATTACAGTACAGAATAGCTGAGGCGTGACAATCCGCTCTGCAGCGCCTATCAGCTGGGCTAAAAACGAACAAATATAAGTAGGTATAGCGCAGGGGTGGCCGGGAGAGCCCAGCTGACGGTCAGAGCGAACTGGTTCGCTCTCACCTCACCATCACCGCTACCAGAAGAACTGGTAGCAACCCACCACTTAAAAAGACCCCAACCACAGATTCAATTGGGATACCAGAAATATGGGAAGGTACAGACATCTCACCCTTCATGGCATCACTCTAAAATCTGCCTCCTCATTCATAATGGCACAGGGAAGCCTAAGTATTGTTTGGGATTGAAATGGGCTATGATAGGAAAATCCTTCAGAGTCAGCCTAGCGGGCTTAGGAATTATGGGAGTTGAAGTCCCTAAGTCATAAAGGGGCCATTGTTTCCTCACCCTGGTCTATTCATTAAATTGTCCCTGAGGTTACTCTGCAGGAATGCTGGGTTAGCCAGATTGCAAATCACAGGAACTGTGACCTCAGGTAGCCTGGCTCACACCCATGGCCCTTCCTACCAGCACAATAAGGCAAGCAACAGATCACATCTCCCTAACTGGTGATTAGTAAAGAACATTCTCATCTAGACAGATTATTATTCCTTCTTTTCCTGTCACATTTGCCAGCTGGTAATGCATTACAGACGCAGAAGGCTCCTTTCCAGACCATTTCCTTCTTGTCTAGCCCCACATTCCTATGTGACATTTCACCTCTGCTGGATCCAGGCCTAATCGGCCAACAGCATCAGAGCTAAATGTCAGTCCAGTCCTCATGGATTAGCCTGGCTATCTTTTGGAGAGAGAAATAAAATAAAAATGCACTGTCAGGAAAAAAAAAAGGGGGGGGGAGCTTCTTTCTTTCTGAAAAGAAGTTATCTCTCTTTCCTATAGAGCTATGAAAGAAAGCTACTATCCAGTAAGATCCACAGCAAAATAAAGAATGACAGTTTATGTCATTATTTCCTTCAATTTTAAGATGACCTTTACCTTTATTTTCCAGTTAGAACCCTCTAATATCAAAATATAAACATTATGTAGATAACCAGAGTGCACCAAAACATACATTTGGGAGGCCTATGTGAAAATAAGCAAAATTAAACCATATAAAGCAATCTGTGGTTTTCCAGATACTTTTGACTCCATCTCTACATCACTCAAAAAAGTTTACCTGTTTTTAATTTTAATAATTTTTTTTTGCACCGTGAAGTATTAAGACTCCTTGACTATTCATTTTGAATAGAAAGGCAGCATTAAAATAAAAATTTAAAACAGTCCTACAAAACTCTGGGGTCATTGTGAGAAATAAAAATGTTGAGATCATCAGCTGCTCTCAACAGGCCGTGGCCATCACTGACATATAAGCCTACTTGAACCACTTTCCCAGTGTTTAGGGTTAGGATGATGCTTCATAGGTATTATTCGGACATAATTGAAGAGATATATAAAACCTATCCTTATTACTTTTACTTTGGCACAATGATAGTTGGATGACTATGGAAGCTGCTGTAAACCACTGGTATGGGTGGCAGGACTCACAAAAAACCCAGTGGAGACATTTTGCCTTAGACCATGTAAAGTCTTGAGGCTATACTCCAACAATGTCCTCCCTGACTCAGATGTTTTGGAAACCCACCCTGAAAGTATTATAAATTGTCTCCACGTCCTTCCAAAAATCAAATATTAAGTTTTATGATCATGCATCCCCTAAAGGTTATTCTACATCAGGGGTGTCAAACACAATTTCATTGAGGGCCACATCAGGGCTGTGGTTGAACTCGGGGGGCTGGATGGGCATGGCCGACTGGGTGGGCATGGCTGGCTGGGTGGGCGTGGCCATCTTGATGCCATTCACTGGGTGTGGCCAACTGGGTGGGCATGGCCAGCTTGACGCCATTCCCCAAACTGCTGGCATGTTTCCAGGGAGATCGGGCTGAAGCCATGCTGGCCCAATGTTTACTCTTTGCATTGGGTAGACCAGGCTGAAGCGATGCAGGCCGGACCCTTACATTTTCCAGGCCAGCCCCGCAGGCCCGATCCAACCACATCGTGGGCCAGATCTGGCCCGTGGGCCTTGTGTTTGACATCCCTGTTCTACATGATAGCTGGTATTAACAATCTTTCCTCTTGTAAGTACTTCCGCTGCTATACTTGTTCTGTTTTGTTCATTTTACTTTGTCTCAGCTGCCTTCTTGTATCACAATAAGAATTTATCTGCCTATGTGCAAGTATTCTCACACACAATCCTAGAAATTTTTCTCTAAAGTTATGTACATCGGTGCCACATAATATCATTCAGTTTTCAGCTGAATGTGTAAAATAGTATTTTTTAAAAAAACCAAAACATTGAGATGGAGTGCTGTCAGTTTATATTAATGTGCTGCCTTTAATATTTACGGTGTGATTATTGTTCTAAATTGATGTTATACTGAGAGCACACATCTGTGAAAGCACCCAAATTTGTCTTATGAAATAATTGTCACCCAGATGACTTTGTCCCTAAGGAGGGACTAGCACTGCCAGTGTCCCAGTTTCTAACCTGATGGCTTAACCATGACACCAATAATATAACATAGCAGTAATGATATTACTCAAAAATATGTTGCCGTACCATTCTTATCTGTTTTCAGAATGGTTTCTGGTTGATTAAACTGATGATGTATTTCATGGAATTAAAACATTTGCATCCCATCTTCTTATCAAGCGGTTTATAACAGTACAAAATTATATGTAAAACTGTTCACAAGAGCAAAACCAAACAAAATTTAAAAAGAAAGTCAAATCGGCAGCCTATCTGGTAAAACTAAATTAATAAGGCAAAGTGGCAAAATGAAAAAAAAAAAAAAAAGCAACACCAATACTTGTTTGGGTTCACATATTGTACTATTTTATACTGTGCTTTGTTTGGCTTAGCGTATTCTGTGAAACTCATATCCTATGATTAATGCCGTACAATATTGTTAAGCAAAGAATGGCTTTGTATTGCATCACTAAAGTGGCATGAAACATTAAGCCATTTTGTGGCTGGGCCTATGGCCATTTCTGGTTTAGATGCCAGGGAGACCAGAATTTCAGGTTTCCCTGTTTTATCCCTAGTGATTCCTATTACTTTCTGAGTGGGCAGCAGCTAAGCCATAGTCGAAGAAATACTGTGAGAGCTGCTTCTTTTAATATCAACATAGCTTCTTCCTATTTCAAAGATAAAAGAAAAGCCCAACTATTAAGCTGTTGAATAAGAAAGGGATTCTACTGATATTATTCTCCCAGAGCCAAGAATATTATTAGAAAGCTAATTTGCATTAGCCATTGTTCTTATAAGAGAAAATGTGTATGTTAAGGAGTGATATTTAAATTATGTTGAGTCACAGGACTCACAAGTAGCCATTATATATGTTTGAACAATGTTGTAATAAAAATAACACTGTCTACTACATGGGTGTCAAACTTGTGGCATCACGTTGCCACCACATGACGTTTTGTGACGTTATTTCCCTTCATGGAGCTGGGGTGGGCGTGGCCTGCGCATGACGCATCCGGCCTGTGGGCTGCCAATTTGACACCCCTGGTACTAGACCAGTAGTAGACAGACATCCTTTGTGGCTGTGAGATACTGTACTTCATTGCATAGAAGTAACCAGTTTGCTTTCCTGATGTGCGAAGATGTTGCAGTTTACATCTTGGAAAGCCTTCATGTCACACTGAGACCACTTCTGGCAGTTCCGGAGCTGCAAAAAAAAATTCTGTGAATGCAAAATAATCCCCACGGGTATCTTCCTGTTACCACAACTAGGGACAATGACACATAATGATATGAAACAAGTTCACTGCTAAGTTTTTAGAAGCAGCAGCAACTGTGTTTCCTTGTGAAGCAGCTTCAAAAGGTGCTTTGCTCCTAGCATCCTGAAAGCAATGAAATGCTTCTAAATTTTCCTTAAAATTTAGAATCATTCTTCCCCAATTACAGAGTCCAGAAAACTTATATGATGCAGCCATTTCATTTGGATGAAATCCACATTTTTTTACTACCGGTTCTGTGAGCGTGGCAGGGAAAGGATACTGCAAAATCTCCATTCCCTCCCCACTCCTGGGGAAAGGATATTGGAAAATCTCCATTCCCACCCCACTCTAGGACCAGCCAGAAGTGGTATTTGCCAGTTCTCCGAACTACTCAAAAATTTCCTCTACCTACCAGTTCTCCAGAACCTGTTAGAACCTGCTGGATTTCACCCCTGGATGCAGCCATGCAATTCCTTTTCTTTTTCTTTCCTTAGTGACCAATTACAGCAATTTCCATCACTATTGCATTGCAGTAGTGAATATGTGAAGCTCGCATTTATACATTTACATTTATAGTCAGATGCTATCCCATAATATTTTCTGCCAAAGGTTATAAACAGATGTTTATTTGTGACGATGTGAAAAAGTTTGGGCTATTCGTAGTGTGATTATTACAACAGATTCATTCTTGGTTGTCTTAAGACCCTTATGCAAATTGATGAGTTGTGATTTCTTTAAAATGTAGAAGGAAACTTGTCCAGTCTTGCATTTAATTTTTCCTCCTTTTTATCTAGATCAAAATGCGATCTCGAAATCAAGGTGGTGAGAGCTCATCCAATGAGCAGTTACCCAAGTCCAAGACGATTATGAACTCTTCAGAAAATCAAAACTTTCAGGAAGATGCAAAGAAAAAGAACAAATCTAATCCGAAAGAAGGTGAAATCCTAGGTCCAGGAACTGTGAAGCAGCGCAGCAAGTTACCAGGAACTAATGAGCGAAAAAGCAAGAAATCAATAGAGCTATCTAAAGAGGATCTCATCCGGCTCCTGAGCATAATGGAAGGAGAACTACAGGTATATATAAAATCTAATTATTTGTTGTGAGGTGTTTGTTTGTTAAAAATAAAACAAAATATTTGTGACCTAGCAATAAAACTTTACTATTGGGAGTCCTGGTGGCACAATGGAGAATGCTGTATTGCAGGTGCTAACTCTGCCTGCCTGCCTACCTGCCTATCTATATCTGTCTAGCTATCTATCATCTTTCAATCAAAACAAGGAGCCAGATTGTTGGGGGCAACATGATGATAATGTAAACTGCCCAGAGAGTGCATGATGGAGCGGTATATAAGACTAAGTTCTATTGCTGTTACTAGGTTTTCAGCAGAGGATGAAAAGCCATCTGCTGTGATAGTCTTTGTCCATTCCTTCTCTCCTACTGAGAAATGCACTACACTAAATCATCTACCATGCTCCCTCTAACGCTATGGTTGGCTGGGCTTACTTAATAAAGTGTTAACAATGCACAACTTCTATGTTTACAAAGAATGTTGTGCTCAACCTCTATTATATGGTAGTTTACAATGCTAATGTGATTCCAGAATATGCTAAGACAATGGCCAAGCTCCCACAACATGGTAAACTATGAACTAGGCCTACGGGAGAAGCACTGATATCTACAGGAAAGACCATGGACATACAAAGGAGTGTGGTTTCCATCACATGGTCCCTCCTGCCATCTTGGTCTTTTGTCCCTCCCGCCTCCAATGAGAAGGCAGCTCTTTGCTTTGAGGAGAGATTTTAAGTTGTGATTCACTTCAGTGACGTGCAACAATGGTGTGATTTGTTTCCTCAAAGCTTCTAATTTGCTGCATCCAGTAGCGGTTAGATACTTCTAAATGTGTCCTGCACATGCTCAGAAGTGTCTCCCAGTATTTTCAGTGAATCAGAATAGTAGCTTGATCACAGTTTGTCTGTAGAACAAACCCAATTGCTACTCTCTGGATGGCTGTTTTGGAAAGAGCCTGCTTTTGTCATTAGAAAGTTTTTCTATTGTCCTATCACGCTAAGGTAGAGGTTGGTTCCACTTGATTTTCACCGTGTAGATAGAGAGCAATCTTTTCCAGAAAAGAAACTCAAACTAAGTTGAAGAAAATGGAATAGAGTTCTGTTACCTTCAGTCTATCAAAACATATCATTGTAAGATATTAGAGAGGATATTTGCAGCCCCTCTCTCCCTCCCCCTGCTTGTGAGAAAGAGAAATCTGCCCTGTGAATCTCATCTTCAACTTCAAAAACATTAACAGCATCCCCTGATCTCTATAAGGAAATGAGAGCTCTGTTATTCACCATCTAAGCCTCTCTATGACATCATCTGCATGATATCATCGGTCTCAGAACAACATCCAAAATTCACTGGTGAGAAAAGAAACAATTACTACCCTACCAAGAGACTATAGACCTGCCTGGTAACTCCCTTACACATTAAGTATTCTTACACAACTGGAAAATCTGACCAGAAAATGCAGAAAGCCATATCCTAGCAAAATAATGGAAGGGAAACTCAATTTGCATTGATTCACACGGTCTGTTAATCTAAAAGAAAAGCTGCTAGTGAGATAAAGATTCCAAAGACTTCTCTATTTTTTTATGAAGTAATTTCCCTAATGAGTTTTAAATCTATTTCCTCATATATTTCCTGGAATGGTCAAGTCAAGAAATGTGAAACCTCGCCAGAAAAAGGATGATCCAAGTGCAAAGTAAACCAGGACGAAGATTCTGGCAGGGCAGACAATTTCAATAATTTAATATCTTTGCATGTATCAGTATATGTAAGCGATCACTTTCGTAATGAGGATACATGTGTTAATTTGTCTGTTCTGTATAATAAATTTTAAATAATGCAGTAGGATTGGAAGGGGGGGAGAAATGTTCTTGTTTTTGTTGGAAGATAAGCAGCCATAATGCATTGCATGGACTACAATTTCAATCATCCATGAAAATGGAAATTATATTCCAAATCATCCAGAGTGTATCCAAATTGAGGAAGTTTGCTATAATATTTTGAAGATACATAGAAAAGGTAAACAACACAGTTCCATCCTTTTTCAGTGACTTTACTGAAAATCCAAGTAGGAAATTTTCTCAGATTGCTGAGAGACAGAGGGAGGGGGAGGAAGAGAGACAGAGACACAGAGAAGAGTCCCTACTTCCTTGCAACTCATTTTTGGGGGTTGGCAATGGGGTGGGGGCTGAAGGAGGAAGAAAAGCAGGATATCTTTAAAAAACACAATGCAAGAAGTCTTGAATACCTACGAGATATTTTAGGACTGCTACTCCCAGGATTCCCAGCCAGCAAAGCTTATTTATTTATTTATTGTTTATTGGTTCAATTTATATGCCGTCCTTCTCCGGAGACTCAGGGCAGCTTACATGCGTTAAGCAATAGCCTTCATACTTTTGTATATACCTGCTTAGTAGGACTTTCGCCCCCCCTCCAAGCAGTGTTCTTTTTTATACAAAGTCAGCTTATTGCCCCCACAATCTGGGTCCTCATTTTACCTACCTCGAAAGGCTGAGTCAACCTTGAGCCTGGTGAGATTCGAACTTGCAGTAATTGCAGGCAGCTGTTGCTAATTAACAGCACTTTAGTCTGCTGCGCCACCAAAGCTCTGTGATGTATGACCTCTACAACTCTCAGAATCCCCCATTGGCTCTGGGAGTTGTTTGCCATCACATATGAAAAACAACAAATTGGAAAAAAGGGGGGCTTTAATATGCAGTATCCAAGGGACACCTGTAAAAAAAAGTAAAGAAAAATCTTGTCTTCTGTGAGTCTACAGCAGGGGTCCCCAAACTTGGCAACTTTAAGACTTGTGGACTTCAACTCCCAGCAGAGCTGGCTGGTGAATTCTGGGAATTGAAGCCTACAAGTCTTAAAGTTGCTAAGTATGGAGACCCCGGGTCTACAGTAGTGGGTGAATAAGATAACTGGACGATTTAATTTAATTTACCTTCAGTCACCCTAGACACTGATCATAGACTCTACAGAGAGTTAACTTTGTCCATGGGCCCATTTATAATAGCCAGCTACAGCTTCCCCTAAGTCAGCTGATTTACCCACTGTGATGTGCTAATTCTTGAAGCATGCAAGACGTATCACAACACATTTCGATTTGTGTACACAATCTACAGTGACCTTTTGAGTTTGCTTCTTGTACTGCCAAGGATCGCGGAATGATAGGCTTTAGCAACCCTCCTTGTAGTCTGATAATAACACAGAACAAAACTGCTTTTCAGTGTCAGGAAAATGGGAAGTGGTATCTTTCAACCCTTCAAACTTCAAACAGAATAACTTTAATTCCTTGTCATGGGAATTCAGTACTCTTGGACCAGACCACAGATAATGAATTATGTCAGCCTAGAACTCGGGTGATGTGTTCTCTTTAGACTGAAGTGACATCATCGGTGTAATTTTCTGGCAATAAAACAGAGGCAAAACTGTGTCGGCAGGCAGCAATAGGATCTCTTTGATCTCTTCCAAAACATGGTGTGTAAAATAACATTTCTTTGCATCGGTACTACTATCAGCGACCAAACCTTTGCAGGGATTGGAGGTGGGCAGAGGGAAGTGGTATTCTCAGATCCATTGGAGGCTCTGCTAATATCCTGCAAAAAGAGGAAAAATGCAACAAATTCTTGTTTTAGACTAATGGACAGCTCAGTACAGCATCTTGCCTTTGGGACATAAAATTTTATTAGCTACTATTACGGAAGCGTTAGTCAGCAAATGGGAGATGGGTTACGGAGTTCAACTTGTTGAACTAGTCAGACAGGTTCATGCCTTATTTGAGTCCTAAGTAACGGGTTTGTGACTTAAAAAAAAATAAAAATCACCAATTTGTGGGGAAAAGTAGCTCTAAAAATCCCTGAAGAAATTTATAATAGCTGGAGTTTGTTATGCTTTATTAAGCCACAGAGATCAGCAATCAGCTTGTGCAAACCAGGTGTAACTGTTTCCCTTTAATGTTATATCAGCAATTACTGATACCTTAATAAATTCCAAGATCTGGGAATACAGCCAAAATATACATGTTGACAGTCTTGTGAATTTCAGTCTGAAGTACAGTATTAGTAGCATAAGCCTAAAGCTCATGAGTCAGGAGCTCCAGTTCCTGAATTGCTGGTGCAAAACATAGGTGTTTTTAACCAACCCTTCTTAGACATTATCAGGTGTCTAATATTCACTAAACAAAATTTACCTGAAGAGATGAGTAATAGCAGTCAAAACTGTGTTCTTGAAAGACATATCTGATGAATACCGCACTGTTAAACTAGAACGGTGCACAAAGCCAGCTGGTCTCTCTTTAAATAGGGATTGTGATGTAACTGATGTATGTAACAAGAATACCATTTATTTATTTAGAAGATTTATTTACATCACAACTCCATTGTGAAACATTGGAACGCCATACATAGAATTATAAAATCCCCCAGATAATACAGGTAATCCTCAATTTATGACCATAACTGAGTACAAAATTTCTATTGCTAAGTGAGATCTTTGCTAAGTTTGAGTTTGGCCCCATTTTATGACCATTTTCTTGCCACAGTTGTTAAGTGATTCATTGCAGTTGTTCAATTAGTAACACAGTTGTTATTGTGAATCTGGTTCCCCCTTGACTTTGCTTGTCACAGGGTCGCAAAACGTGGTCACTTGACCCTGAGACACTGCAACCGTCATAAATATGAATCAGTTGCCAAGTGTCTGTATTTTGGTCATGTGATCATGGGAATGCTCATGGTCATAAGTGTGAAAAATGGTCACAGGTCACTTTTTTCAGTGCCATTATAACTTTGAACGATCACTAAACAAACTGTTGTATAAGTCAAGGACTTTCTGTATTATAATTAAAATCACACAATTTTTTTTTTTAAAAAACTAAATGCTAACATTTCAACAACATAAACCTGGGCCTCTTTATACCCTCCACCATCCAAAAGACAAGCTCATCTTTTGTCCTGGCCCAATGCCAGGGTGAAAAGGCAAGTTTTTGACACTTTCTTGAAGGCTAAAAGATTGGGGTGACCTCAATCTTTGGGTGGGGGAGGGATTGTTCCAAAGAGGGCTCTGGCAGTCCCAGAAACTGATGCCAATTGTTCAACAATTGCTATTTTAGGAACTACAGAAGTTCCATTAATACCGTGTGGAATGATTAATTGATGTCTGCTATGAATGAGATATCCTATCCTGCCCCACAGATGTGTTGGATGGTAACTCCCAAGATATCGAGTTAGAATACCCATTTATTGGAAGCTGCTGTTCTGACAAGTAGGCATATCTTTAAAAGACAGCAGCAGACCAGATCTAGGTTGATTTTGTTCCTATCGTGCATCATAATACATCTCTGTCAGGGTTCCAAGTAACACCCCCAATGAAAGAACACTCCGAGGCTTGAGTTTCCTCAAAGTTCTATTTTATTAGAGATGTCATATTGGCATATTTGGAAAAACCCGAATCTGAAAACTTCCAGGTTTTCCCCACCCAAAGGAAAGTTCAGGTCCCTTCCCAACACCCACATGTCCATCACATGGTCCAATCCAAGCACCATCCCAACTGGTGGATGCCTCCCAGTTCCAGCTGTCTAGGTGCAGGGCAAGATGTCCTTGACTCTCTGAGAAAGGAATGTTATTATGACTATATATCACCCATGTTCCATACAATCCCCCCTCCCAGTTTCCAACAATAGTAAATGTGGCAGGCCTGAAAATCCAATCAAAAAGATGGCTTCTAGGCCTGACACTCCCCTAACAGGAATTTTAGGGGATTTGGGGGAAAAAAAATGAGATGAAGTCGTCCAGGAAGCCTCAGGCTGTAGGTTAGACTGGGATGTTCAAAAACATATCTTGGAGGAAGGCAATAGCAAGCCAGTTCTTAATTCCCCTAAAAACCAGAGGTGAAATCCAGCATGTTCTGACAGGTTCTGGAGAACCGGTAGCAGAAATTTTGAGCAATTCGTAGAACCGGTAGCGAAAATTTTGAGTAGTCTGGAGAACCGGCAAATACCACCTCTGGCTGGCCCCCGAGTGGGGTGGGAATGGAGATTTTGCAGTATCCTTCCCCTGGAGTGGGGTGGGAATGGAGATTTTACAGTATCCTTCCCCTGCCACGCCCACTAAGCCACACCCACCAAGCCACACCACACCCACAAGCCACGCCCACAGAACTGGTAGTAACAAAATTTGGATTTCATCACTGCTAAAAACTGCATGGGTATGTCCATGAAGGTCAGTGAAGTCCAGGTACTCTTTACCTGGGCTAGAGTGAATTCTAATTAGGAGTCAGAAAATGGCTTATCATTAAAGGTATGGTGACCAATGTCACCATACCTTTAAATTTCAGCAACAATGCTCTGTAACAAAGACAGAGGTAGCAATCTTTTCATTCATATCCCTGAGATGAAAAGGAAAGACAAGAGCATCAAGGCCATTATTAAGTGTCGTTCTTGTAACCTCGGTGGTACACAGCTAAGAATATAACCCATAAACATAAGCACCAATAAATGGATCATCGTAAGTTTACACTAAGTCCATATTTTTGTTGTGAATTATTCTAACACGACGAATCCTGATTTGTGCCCTCTGTCCCACTTGTCAGTTTATTAATAGTGTGACAGCTGTGGTGTAACAGGATCAGATATAAGAAAAGGTCATGGGTTCCTCTCCTCACCACAATGCAGTGTGGTCATAACTCAATGGCCCAATTTCTATATTCCAAAGGATTTTTCACAAAGAGTAGTTCAGGATCCAGTCACCAAATCTGTGAGTCATCTGAGGAAAAGGAGGAGCAGTATGGAATTGCCATATCTACTAGTTGCTGGTGAGGATGTTACTAATAGCAAGGTTGACCCTTTTCTTCCTTCTCAGAAAGGTTACTAGGTTTAATTACCCTGTACGGAAACACAATAATAATACCTGCTCTGGAGATAACAGTGTTATCTGGAAACTCCTGAACAGTCCGTCATAAACGGCCAATATGTTCCTTACAAAGTTAAAAGGTAAAGGTAAAGGTTCCCCCACACATGCATGCTAGTCGTTTCCCGTTCTAGGGGGTAGTGCTCATCTCCGTTTCTAAGCCGAAGAGCCAGTGCTGTCCGAAGACGTCTCCGTGGTCATGTGGCCGGCATGACTCAACACCGAAGGCGCACGGAATGCTGTTACCTTCCTACCAAAGTGGTCCCTATTTTTCTACTTGCATTTTTTACGTGCTTTCGAACTGCTAGGTTGGCAGAAGCTGGACAAGTAACGGGAGCTCACTCTGTTATGCGGCACTAGGGATTCGAACCGCTGAACTGCCGACCTTCTGATTGACAAGCTCAGCATCTTAGCCACTGAGCCACCACATCCTCTGTTACAAAGTTACAAGTCATTAAAAACTCTCCTTATGTGCAGTCTCCTTTCCTTATGTGCCACATCTGGGTTTTTTTTTTAATCTGGAAGATTTCTGGGAGACTCTCAAGGTAAAGAGTGGGATATAAATACTTTAAACAAGGAGACACAACTTTTTTAAAGAAAAAGAGTCCTTCTTCCTTTTATGTGGTCACCCAACTCAGACAGTATGATTCTGAGCAGTGTGCAAAGGGGGAAAAAACCCCAAACCCAACAAATACAAAAACATTGCATACCTTTAAAACGTAGTAAGCAATAAAATGGTGATCAGGTCTGAAACATGCTTTAATTCCTCAAAGTGGGGGCACTACTCATCCTAATACAGTTTAAAATCACATGTACGACTGCACAAAAAAAAAACACGGCACAATAAGATAACCATCTTTTGTTTGCCCTAGGAATCTGTAATTTAGAAATATATGGCCTTTCAAACATGGAAATTAATTTCCCTATTATAGTTAACAGCTGTCAATTAACATCCCCTTCATCCCCTTTCTTTTTATTCCAGTCCTTCCCACTTCTGTTGAGACTCTCTCTTCCAGAATTTTACTCTAAGCTCACACTGAATGTTATGAGAGTTAACACAAACTGGATACATTTACTGGGGTCGTCTTTAGAAACTTAGATCAGGGATCAGCAACCTGCAACTCTAGAGCAGCATGTGACTTTTTCATCCCTCTGAGGCTGCGGCTCCTTGTCGCCGGTCAGCTCCGTAATTGATAGGGCTTTTGGTTAGGACAGGTAGAGGAAAAAGGATGCCTCGCTAGGAGGCTCTATTGTGGGGGAACCGGATTTCCGGTTGGCAGAGGAAAAAGGATGCCGCACTAGGAGAAGACTCTAAGGTGGGGGAACAGGACTTCCGGTCAGCTTCAGAACTGAATGGGGGACTTCCGGTTAGGACCTTTGTGGCTCTTTGAGTGTTTAAGGTTGCCGACCCCTGCCTTAGATCATTTTCATACTATGTTTGGGAAAGGTTGTCTCAGCGGTGAAATCCCCCCGGTTCTATCCAGCTCGCCGAACTGGTAGCGCCGGTGGCGGGAGGCTCCACCTACCCGCCGGGACGTTATTACGTCCCAGTTTTTTACCATCTGTGCATGCGCAGAAGGTTCTGTGCATGTGCAGAAGAGGTGTGTGTGTGAGCATAGCGCGCACATTCCCGCACGCTCCCATTCCCAAACTGGTAGTGAAGGTAAGTGAATTTCACTGCTGGGTTGTCTGCACCCTTTTTGAAACAGTCCAAATCAACTGCCAATCAATTTTAAATGGGTGATCCTGAATTTCAGTTCCTGGAGAGAATATTGTCTCCATCCCAATTCACATTTTTGAGGCCTCCATCATCCGGCTTTGTAAAAGAAAGAACCCAGATTCTTCCCTCTGTTTTAATTTTGTTGTCTTTTCCATATATGGGGCTTCACAGGGAAGGAATCAAAAAACCTTTTATTAACCCACATCTGTTAAATCTTAATAATTCAGTAGATGCACTTTAGAACACAGCACTGTGCTGATAACAGAAAAGCAACAAAGAATGCTATTATTTCACGATAATGTTGACTTAGTGTTAGAATGGTAATAATACTGAAGTCTCAATTTGCAGGCTAGAGATGATGTGATCCACATGCTGAAGACCGAGAAAATCAGACCTGAAATCCTAGAGGCACACTATGGTTCTGCAGCCCCAGAGAACGTCCTCCGAATATTGCATAGAGATGCTCTCCTTTCCAAAGAGAAATCAGTAGAAGATGTTTATGAAAAGCCCATTTCAGAGGTGAGCACTTTTGAGGGTCTTTTGAATTTTTTTCTTCAACTTGCATTCTGCTGCTTGCCCTGAGCTATCATTAAAGGGTACTAAATCAGAAACTCCCAAAAGCAGATTGTAAAATGGCAACCCTACTTCCAGGGAAGGCATCCTATTGCTAACTGTAATTTCACTTCTCAAGATTTCTCTAGCTCTGAAGTTGAAACTAGGATACTGGAATGTTAGCAATTTTACATTCCTCAACAACCCAATGCAACAGAAAGCAAACCACAGTGACATCTGCATGCAGTTGAATCTGCTCCAACTAGCAAAGGCATTGATAGAACTTCTCTGTTGCACAGTTGTGTATAAATTACCAGCTGGCTTGGCTGAGGGCATCTGCAGGGTTATTTCCTGACATGATTATTTTCAGGATGTGCTGTTGTGATGCTTGACAGTTTTCATTAGAGCAATCATGAAGAGGTTTCCTCACATCTAGAATCTGATCAGATTGATGAAATTGAAGCAATGGCTGAGAAATCATAAGTCAAGATTGGGTGACCTAGATAGATTCCAGGTGCCTCCAAATGACCGGGGACGATGGAACTTGCTGAATGCTTTAAATATAGTCACTTTACTCATAAAATACAGTGAGATTCCTATGGATGCCTTCTGGTGAGAGATGTTAGTGGCCAGAAAACAAGAGGAAAGGATACATTCTCATCAAGCTTTGAAGTACATGTTCATTCACACTGTTTGCACATTAATCTCTTGTTCAAGAAGGCATCCATAGGAATTTCACTGTATTTCTACTTTTATGAGTAAAGCAACTGTCTTTAAAGCATTTGTTCTGACCTAGGCTCCCTTAACAAGCAGGAGGCAGGAATTAGTCCCGGCAAAACCTCTTTTATTTACACGACTGTGAATTACGTTCATTCACAGTCAGCAAGGTTTGTCCAAACAAACCTTGTTCAAAGGAATATTTCTCAACACAGCTTATCTCGTTTGGCAAGCTGCCACATAACTTGTTTCCAACCGCAGTACAAGGCAAAACTTGGCACAGTCTCTCTCAGAGAACGAACGAATTGTTTCCTGCAAAAACCCACTCCCTGTTCACTCCTCTTTTATTTCCTATGGGAGGGGCCAATCACCTCCAAGTTGTGGCTTTACTCCTGAGTCGACCCTGCTTTCTGAGTTGTTCTTGTCTTCTGGCAGCTCTACGCATGCGCACACTGGGAAGGGGCTCCAGCTGTTCCTCTGCCTCGCTGCTGTCTAACTCCCTCTCTGCCTCTGACGCAGAGCCCTCGTCTGAGCTTTCCCCAGCCCCCAGAACTGGCCCAAGTTTCTCCCCAACCTCCTCACTGTCTGATTCTGCTGCCAGCTTTGCTGGCTGCCGGCAGGCCACAACAGCATTCAGCAAGTTCCACCATCCCCAGTCATTTGGAGGAACCTGGAACCGCTCTCACCAAGCTCCAGACCTGGAAAGCTCATTCCTCAAATAGCTCAATGTAACCAAAATGTGAACATCTTTCCTCGGTAGTTAATTAGGACATCCAATGTGATGAGCACATTCAAATGCTGGCAGATCAGAAACAGTAACCAAGTACAGGTCTTTTCTGTACGACAGATTCCTTGTTGGGTAAATTAAACAAAGTCAGCCAATGACCTATTTAACACCATCCCTTTTATGCTTCAATAAACCAGCTGGACAGATTGGAAGAAAAGCAGAAGGAAACATATCGGCGCATGCTTGAGCAGCTTCTTTTGGCAGAAAAGTGCCATCGACGCACAGTTTACGAGCTGGAAAATGAGAAGCACAAACATACTGATTATATGAACAAAAGTGACGACTTTACCAACCTCCTGGAACAGGAGCGTGAACGGTGAGCTTCAAACACACACTGTGGGATGAGATCTGCATTTCAAAAGTTAATTTTGCCTGGCCTTTTTTTTTTTTTTTTTTTGCAGATCTATAGCATTCTAGGCAGTGGTGAAATGTAAAATTTGTTACTACCGGTTCTGTGGGCGTGGCTTGAGGGGGGGGGTAATGTGACTGAGTGGGCGTGGCCAACTTAAAAAAAAAACTTTAAAAAGTGTTTTTTCTACAACCTCTTTGGCCGAAGAGGTTGTAAAAAAAAATGCTTTTAAAAGCCTCTGATGATCAGGCAACTCAGCTGGATCTATACAGATAATCCTCGACTTACATTCCCAGTTGAGCCCAAAATTTCCATTGGTAAACAAGGAAATTATTAAGTGAGTTTTTGTCTCATTTTACAACCTTTCTGCCACAGTTGTTAAGTGAACCACTGCAGTGGTTCAGTGAAACATGCGGCTATTGGTGATCACATGACCCTAGAACACCGCAACTGTCATAAATATGAGGCAGTTGCCAAGCACCCAAATTTTAATCATGTGACCATGGGGATGCTGCAACAGTCATGTGAAAAACAGTTATAAGTCACTTTTTTCAGTGCCGTTGTAACTTCAGACCAATGGCTGTAAGTCAAGAATTACTCGTACATTCATCTCACTATCAGTGAAGCCTTCCAATCGATCCCAATTTAGTATTAACTGCCTGGTGCCATTAAATTCAAAACCTCAGATTTTGTGATTAATTTATGTCAGCATAAACTTGATGTAGCCATGATGGTGCAGTGGTTAGAATGCAGTATTACAGGCTAATTCTGCTGACTGCCAGGAATTCGATCCTCACTGGCTCAAGGCTGACTCAGCCTTCCCTCCTTCCGAGGTTGGTAAAATGAGGGCCCAGATTGTTGGGGGCAATAGGCTGACTCTGTAAACCAGGTAGAGAGGGCTGTAAAGCACTGTGAAGTGGAATATAAGTCTAAATACTACTGCTATTGCTATATAAGTGCCTTACTTCACTCGTTAGACTTTTGCAAACATTTAAAAAATAAATTAAGCAGTGGTCATGCAATGGTTAGAATGCAGTATTGCAGGCTAATTCTGCTAATTGCCAGCACTTTAATTCTCATCGGCTCAAGGTTGACTCAGCTTTCCATCCTTCTGAGGTCAGTAAAATGAGGACTCAGATTGTTGGGGGCAATGTATTGACTGTAAACTGCTTAGAGAGGGTTGCAAAGCACTATGAAGCAGTATATAGGTCTGAGGGCTATTGCTATTGCTAATAGATGTTTAAATTTAGTGAGATCAAAGCATATTCCTGATGCTGGCTCAGTATGAGCCTCTCTTGGTTGCACGAAATTGTAATTGGGGTCTTGCAATTACAAGCTGTATTGATATACTTCTCTGTCAATGTACCTCTGGATGAGAAAATATTGTTTCAAGTCAACAAATGCAACTTCAGAACTGGCAAAGAGTTGCAGCCTAAGAAGATGCCATCTATGGTCCCATTGGAGGAGACTGATGATTGTTCCATCTTCTGGGATCCTTCTTGTCGTGATTAGGAGAAGTCAAAGTGCGAAACTGCCAATATAACCATATTTAGAATTTGAAGCTTTGCCATCAAAGTGAGAACAGAAACCTAGGAAAATACTAATAATTCATGTTATTCTATTGTTATGAAGTGGAGGGGGGAAACATATGGCTGTTTGGGATCAGGCCTGAGGGATTGGGATAAGATCTTGACTAATTTGCAGGCTAACAAGTTCTGATTGCTACTGGTTCTCTATGTGCCATTATTGCCAGAATTAATAAAGGCTGATTTCTTGCTAGTTGTTCACGAACTCAATAGCCCCCAACCTTTTGAACTCCATGGAATACTTCCGTGAAGAGAGGTTTTTCTGTGGACGGAAGGGGGCGCGGTTTCATGTGCTGCCTGCATCCCGCAGATGGGGTTTCGCTTTTTTTGCATGGACCAGTTTCTGACATCCTGTAGACCAGAGCCCATCCATAGACTGGGGGTTGGGGATCCTTGCAATAGACTCATAACATGTAAACAAATCTGTGCTTGCAACATCCCCATAGCCATGTAGAACTGCAGAGAGTCAAAAGTGACTGAATCAGTTTTCAGGGTTTTAAAACTTATGTTTAGAAAGGCTGGAAGTGTTTAATGACTTCAAAAAGTTATCATTATTGGGATGCACCAAATAATGACCAGAAATCAGTCTGATCATTAAAAAAAAAAAGACTTCAGGTGATGCAGATCCACCAGAAACAAGATATGTCAAGTTAAACCAGGGGTCCCCAAACTTGGCAGCTTTAAGACTTGTGGACTTCAACTCCCAGAATTCTCCAGCCAGCTATGGAAGTTGAAGTCCACAAGTCTTGAAGCTGCCAAGTTTGAAGACCTCTGAGTTAAACAGACAAAAATAATACTATTATGATTCATTGTTAAAGGAATTGTTAGGTGTTTTGTGCCAGCCATGGCAATCTCTTCAAAGGCCACCAGATGGGAGCAAAGAGGCACCTTTGATCCCACTGGTGGGTCAAGGGGCTCCAGCCCCTGCAGCCCCATTGGGGAGAGTTAATGGTCCTCCGGCCCCCTCACACATTGGTAAGGGAGGGGCCAGGGGCCCCTATAAGAACCCCTGCACAGGGGTTGCTCTTCCCTGCTCTCCCTGCTTTTCCCTGCTCTTGTTCTACTCTCCTATGGGACTGATCCATGGGCTCAATCCAGGCATGGATGCCTCCATGCCTGGGAACTTATTTTACTCTACTTTTACTTCTAAATAAAGACTTAATTTGATTGCATCCTTGCGTGCTGACCTTTTCTTGGAAGCGCCCTCAACGAACCATCGTTCCTCGTGAGATCCCTCACAGGAATTGCCGTAAGAGTTTAATGAGACAGTTCCTAATATTTGTATTTATACTTTGAGGACATACCTACTCTCTAAATACCTGTCAGATAAAGTCTTCCTTTTACTGAGCTTGCCTTCCGGTTTCTTCATAATTTTATATGGTGGATTTAGCTTGTCACTGCCTCTTTCTGAGATGTTTTTCAACTTCCTGCAAACCTGTAGTTGTGGTACTCTTTGGAGCTCTTCCTTCCAATTACTAACCAAGTGTTAAGCTGCTTAGCTTCCAAGCCAAAAAAGGGTCAGTCAAGTACTATTGCTACTGACTTTTACTTATACACTGCTCAAAAAAATAAAGGGAACACAAGCAGAAGACATCTGAGATCTGAATGAATGAAATAGCCTTATTAAATACTTTGTTCGTTACATACAGTAGTTTTGTGTTCCCTTTAGTTGTTTGAGCAATGTATAAACTACTGTATGTAACGAACAAAGTATTTAATAAGGCTATTTCATTCATTCAGATCTTGGATGTCTTCTGCTTGTGTACTCTTTATTTTTTTGAGCAGTATATATATATTATACAACAAATCATAATTTCCCCCAATGAATTGGGAGAAGCATTGGATGAAAATTACCAACAGCTCTCTGTTAGAAATCCCTAATCCCTATCAGAATTGCAATGTTAAGAGATTCCTACGAATGGACAATCAAAGTTTGTCTAGCTGTGATATATGTGAAACAGTGGTGAAATCCAATTTTTTTTGTGGGCGTGGCTTGGTGGGCTTGGCAGGGGAAGGATACTGCAAAATCTCCATTCCCACCCCACTCCAGGGGAAGGATACTGCAAAATCCCCATTCCCTCCCCACTCCTGGGGGAAGGATATTACAAAATCTCCATTCCCACCCCACTCTGGGGCCAGCCAGAGGTGGTATTTGCCGGTTCTCCAAACTACTCAAAATTTCCACTACCGGTTCTCCAGAACCTGTGAAAACCTGCTGGATTTCACCCCTGATGAGAAGCCAACACACGTGGTTGAAATTCCACATCCAGAACACTAGATTTAGTACTTAAGTCCATAAGCTTATGAAGCAAGCGAACCCATCAAGTCTGTTTCATTGTGGAAGCAAATGTTTGAAAATGCCCACTTTTGCAAAATTTTAATTGAAAGAATCGAATATAAAATGCAATTGTGTGCTTTGTGTGTGACATGTATTTTTACATTCAGATACCTTTTGGCTTCATTTTCAGGCATTTTATATTTGAGCTGCACAAATTTGGATAACCACTAGATGGATGTAAAGGACTACTTTTCTATATTGGTTTGACAGCCCCCCCCCAAAGCCATGATTCAGCATCATAACAATGTTCCAAAAAGCTATTGTTAGAAATAATCACAGTTTGTTTGAGTGATCAGTGAAAAAGAAAAAATACAACACCATTCCTAGGCCCTTCCAAAGGAGCAGCATGTGAGTTGGGTAGAGAAAATCTTGTCTTCAAAGTCTCTGGTTTGTTTTTTTTTTATAAACATAAAAAATGTTTAAAGTACTCCTAACCTGAAGTTTCCCTTCATAGGTTAAAAAACCACAGCTTGTGATTTCATTAGCTCATTGTCCCTGAAGCTCTGGTTTTTACTTAAAACAGCTGGGTCCTGAGAATAGCAAAAAACCTGGATTAATTTCTTCCAATACAGGACTGAAGGGGAGAGTGGAAAATCTATGTTAGCCTGTTGAATCTGGAGCAACCACTGGGCTGAATCCTATCCCCCTCTGAAGAATGTGTGATCTTCATCATCAAAGAGTCTAGGGAATTCCCACCACCATCCCTTCTCTCGTCTATAAAACTTGCTTTCAGTCTCCCAATAGCATCTTCCTCCTTTCCCCCTCTTATCCCAGCACCCCCAGCAATGTAAGTATTGGCAAGTTTCTCCGGAGCTTGTGCGGATACATTCCACTCTGCTTCAGTCATCCTGGCGCTGGGATGGGGCTTGGCTGCTGTCCTGGTGATGTCAGTGTGGGGCCACATCACCTGTGCAGGAAAGCCATCTGCAACTCATCAAAAGCACCAAAAAGCCTGAAGCAGAAATTATCACCCTGGGGTAGCGCATGCTGTGTATGATTTAAATAGACACTTTTTTTAAAAAAAAAAAGGGGGAAGGGAACCA